GTTGCTCAGTGCCAGGCACAGAAGGTAAACAGGCATTTACAAAGTAACCAGCGGCACCAGAAGTGGAGGACTGGTGATTCCGTTCCAGGGCTGTTGTCCTTGCCGCACTCACCTGTAGCTTCTCCCAGAACCAGAAAGCTCCACGCCATCATGCAGAGAAAGAAGGCATCACGCTTACAGGTGACTGTCGCCGTCACTGTGTGATGCTGATTCAATGCCCTGAGCTGCCAGAGTGCTTCCGGTGTAATCACAGGGTAAAAAGAGGAAGCAAAAGCTCCAGGAGTCTAAAGGGTGTGGCTCCAGTGACTTAGAGTCCCCGTAAGGCCCCATCTCCTAAGGCTTCAACCACTTCTCAGTACTGTCACAAGCTGGAGACCAAACCCTCACCACATGAACCTCTCTGGGGCATTTAAAATCCTAACTACAGCAGCTACCTTATTAAGAAAAAGAATACCAGATGTTACTCAGTTATACCAGAAAGTAAGTTACTTATCTTAGGTTCCCAGGATGACAAGGTTGGAGTGGGTTTTGAGATATTATTGAACAACTGAATATGGGTCTCCCTGGAACTAGAGTTACAGGTGGTTATGAGCCATTGTGTGGGTCCTAGGAACTGAACCCCAGGTCCTTTGTAGGAATAGCAAGTGCTCTTAGCCATTGAGTCATCCCTCCAGCCCAGGGATATCCAATTTGGTCACCAAGAAGATGATTCTAAATGCCTTCAAAAGAATGTGTGTGTAAGGCTGACCTGAAGCTCATCCCTTTGGCTATCCCTAATTGTCTACTAGTCTTCTCTCTGTAATTAAGCACTCAGATAATTTAGTTAAGCCCAAACTCTTCCAGAGTTACGAGGTCCTTGCACATCCAACCTCTGGTTAACTTGAACTCCGAGCCTCAGCCTTCCTCCTCTCTGCTGCCGCTTCTCTGCAGAGCATCTGTTCTTGAGAAGCAACGCCGCTCTCCACCCCCCCACACACTCTTCTTTCCAGTTGTTTCTCTCAGCCTGGTGCCTATTTCCTTAGCCTTAGGGCAGGGCCACATCTTCCCGCAGAAAGCTCTCCCCAGCCTCCTGAGAAACAAGCACTGGTCCCTCCTGAATCCAGGTGGCCCTGTAGTCCCCACCGGAGCAAGCATCACTCCACAGTGTTCATTGTTGGCTTTGTTTCCCCAACGCTGTGCTACTTAACCAGTGTGTCTCCCCAGCCTACTGAGTATTCAGGAAACACTTGTCAATCCAATCAGTGAGCTAATGAGTACAAGAATAAAGTTAAATTCAGTCTTTCCCTGTTGCACCCTTCCCCCATGGGGGTTCTGCTGACCGCTTGTTACTAGGAGCTTTTAGCTAAACACTTCTCATCCCTAGTAAGGCCTACATGTATGTTCCTGTTTTTCGTCCATCCTTTGTCTAAACGATAATACCTGTTTTTGGCCCACCCTTTGCCAGAGGGCCCTGGGAATATAGGCTTCTACCTTAGGGATTTTCCACCATGCCTGCCTTTGGTATTTAAGGCTCCACCCTTGTAAGAATAAACGCCATTCTCCTTGTAAGAATGAGCTGCTGTCTTTGTCTTCATTTTACATCCTTAGCCCTGAGCCTCGGATCGTTTTGAAGTATGGTAGCGCCCTAGCCGTGAACACACTGGAGGCCCCCTACATTTCCCCTTCAGTAAACCACAGATGCTTGTTTGTTTTTTAGAAGTGTATTTGCTTGAAGAAGCTTGGAGCTTTCTTCTCCATGAAAACAACTGCAACTGAACCTTAGGTCACTTAGTATAAGATAAACCCTAAACTCATTCACTAATTTGCCCCAGTGCAAGAAGTGTCTCCATGTTAAGATTTTAATCATGTTGCTACTTTTGTGTTGGAGTATTTATGGAGATCCAGTTATTTATTCTAGAAGCATTTAACTCGCATGTCCTAAGAGCACTGTCTGGACTAAGGCAGAGATTAGGGAAAGAAGGCATACCACAGTTCCTGAAGCCCAGGACATTATTTAGGCAAGAACACCCTTATGAGCATGTGTGCAGAACACTTTAAGATACATGGCTTCATGCATCTTTAGTCAGTCATGAGAAGTGGAAGAAATACAACAGCCCTATTTGAGACAAACTACCTCGAAAATGAAAGGTGTCCAAATACAGATGTTTGTAAGACAGACAACCCACAGGAGGGACGTACCCATCATGGCCCTAACAGGCCATCTTGTGGTGTCGCTGTGGGAGAAACAGTGAAGTCTCACTTCCTCAGAGATGAGTCATTGTCCTCTGGAGTTTTGTTGGGGAAGAGCCTGTCTAGGAAAAGTAAAAGTCACCTACATCCAAATGTTTTTCACCTTCTTAGGACAGCTGAAAAACTTGCAATGAAAACTTAGTAAAGCCAACAAGTGTTGACTTCTTGTCCAGTTTTTGCTTTACATTGAATCAAAGAAATCTAGGTCCACATTAAGATGGGTAAATTAGCATTATAGAGACCATTACTTTGTTTACCCAGCATAAAATTACATCCTCTGTAAATGGGAATATCAAATAGCATAAAAAGCTGGGTGATTTACATTCTCTTTTTGATTAGAGGACAGTATCCACTGTCCTCAGCAAGGGAAAAATCTCTCCCATTTAGCTTCTGAAGATCAAAGAGGCCATTAAATATGCCATATTACCAGCTTTCTTTATTTTTTCTTCTTTTTCAGTTAAGGCTAGAGGGCTACTTTACAAATTGAGACTGTCATGGGCAGAAGGAAGTACTTTGTTTGGGGTCTCATTGACTTCCCTTAGACAGGACCCTGTGCTTAACCTTAATTAAGTGAGACTGTCCTAGAACTTGAGGCCCATGCTGGCCTGTCCCCTGAGGTTCCTGTGCATGTCCCTGACAATCAAGACATTCTGAGTCACAGTCTAAGTCTAAGCCTTGTGGATTTTTCTGTGGAACATTGGATAAAAATCTATGGATAAGAGGAAGGGAAAACCAAAATTCCTGAAAAGAAAGACAAGCCTGAGTCGACATGAAATTGAGATTAAAAACCCGGCTTTCCTCCTGAGAGGAGAAATTCAAGGCGACATTATGTACTTCCCTTCCTAGAGAGAAATATCAGATAAGCATCTAACCAGCTAAGGCATAAATTGTTAAGTTTTCCCTTTCTTTCTTTTCCTTCCCCCAGCCTCTCTTGCTTCCTTTTTTTTTTTTTTTTTTTTTTTTTTTTGGACAGGATTTCATGTAGCCCAGGCTGACCTTCAGTGAACCTTTTAATCAAGGATGACCTTGAACATCTGATTCTCCCACCACCTCCACCCAGTGCTGTGGGACTTCGAGGGTGCACACCACCATGGTAGTGCTGGGACTGCGAGGGTGCGCACCACCATGCCTAGTGCTGGGAGTAGATTTCGAGGCGAGCACTCTGTCGACCGAGCTGCAAGGCTAGATGACCAGTGTGAATTGTACTTATCTTCAGCAGGAGACACAGCAGACTGTCATTGCTCTACATAAGTAATAGGACTCTTGGAACCCCAGAGGCATGCTGGTTTAGCATTGCAGACATTTCATTTTCGTCTGTTTCCTTGCTTTTAGGATTTAGTTGGTGTCCATTTTTACTACAGAGTTCAATGAACTTGGGTAATCAGACCTTTTCTGGGGTTCTAATTTGAGTCTTAGCTGTACCTTTGTCATCTAGACAGTGAAAGGGAAATGAGAGGACAGAATCTGAGATTAAGTTTAAATAAAATGATGAAGTGAATAGAATGAGTGAGTTTGTGTGTGTGTGTGTGTGTGTGTGTGTGTGTGTGTGTGTGTCCCACTAAGTCAGTTTGTGCATTAAAGTCAGATCTTGGACCCACTGTCAGTGGCCTCATATATTGTCCCAGTAACACCATTGTCACCTATATTAAGGGAGTCTAGTTTGGTCTTATGCGGATTCCCCATTTGTCAGACCTGAGTCAGTGATCTCTCACTAGCTTGAGTCAGCTGATTCTGTGGGTTTCCCCATCATGGTCTTAACTCCCTTGTTTATATTATCTTCCCTCCCTCAATTTGATTGTACTCCATCCAGGAAGTTGGCCCATTGGTTAGTTGTGGATTTCTATATCTGCTTCCATCTTTTTCTGGAAGAGGGTTCAGGCTTCTCTGGGTTATGGATTGTAGGCTGAGTATCTTTTGCTTTATGTCTGGTATCCACTTAGGAGTGAGTACATACTATATTCATCTTTCTGGTTTTGGGTTACCTCACTTAGGATTTTTTTTTTAGTTCTGTCCATTTGCCTGCAAATTTTAGGATGTCATTGTTTCTTACTATTGAGCAGTGCTCTGTTGTGTAAATATATCACATTTTCTTTATCCATTCTTCAGTTGAGGGGCATCTAGGCTGTTTCCAAGATCTGGCTATTACAAATAATGTTGCTATGAACATAGTTGAGCAAATATCCTTGTGGTGTGAATGTGCCTCCTTGGGGTATATGCCCAACAGTGGTATTGCAGGGTCTTGAGGTAGGTTGATCCCTAATTCTCTGAGAAATCACCATACTGGTTTCCACAGTGGCTGTACACGTTTGGGCACTCCCACCAGCAATGGAAGAATGTTCCCCTTTCTCCACATCCTCTCCAGCATAAACTGTCATTGGTGTTTTTTATTTTAGCCATTCTGATCGGTGTAAGATGGAATCTCAGAATGGTTTGCTTTGCATTTCCCTGATGACTAAGGATGCTGAGCATTTCCTTCCGTGTCTTTCTGCCATTTGAGATGGTTCTGTCGAGAATTCTCTATTTAGATCTGTGTCCCATTTTTTATTTGGATTATCTGGTAATTTGATGTCTAGTTTCTTGAGTTCTTTGTATATGTTGGAGATCAATCCTCTGTCAGATGTGGGGTTGGTGAGGAGCTTTTCCCATTCTGTAGGGAGTCATTGTGTGAACTTTTTAGTGGGTCTGTCTCAGTTGGGGACAGTCCCTTAAGGGCAAACCCCTGGGGATTTACCTGAGTTAAGTACTTCTCATTTCTTCTCTGCTTTGGACAGCCGGCATGATGTAGAAGACCAATATTCAGATCTCCGATATGATCCCAATTGGAAGAATAAGAAAGCAGAAGTGCAGCCATTGGTTGTGGAAGCCTTGCCGGGGTCTGCGGATAGCTCTGCAGAAAGCTTGCTTCTGGCTCCGCTCTACCCTTCCAGGGAGCCGTCAATGGGACTCTCGGCAGGCAAAGGCAAAGAGAAGCCAAGTCCTCAGAGCGAAGCCTCCTTACTTGGAAGCGAGTTCCTAAGCCCAAACTATGAGTGTGGCACCCGTCAAAATGAGTCCTTTTCAGATCTAAGTGATAGTGACCAGGAGAAGTCAAGCAACCTCTCTCAGTACCTGAAGAGCTCAAGTTCACACAATGAAGTTTTCCTGCCGGGATCACGGGGGCCCCGGAGAAGGAAGGCCAAACAATATTTTGTGGAAAAAAACAAGCTGACTTTGGGATTGCCGGCTCCTAAACTAGACTCTTACCTTCAACTTCACAATAAAAAAAGAGGAGAGACCCGCCTCGAACAGGTATGTAGTGGGGCTTGAGCATCCCTTCTAAGTTGCCCTGGGATTTGTGTGAGACATTCAAAGGCCCATGAAATTTTTTAATGTTTATTTTATGTGTAGGAGTGTTTTGCCTATATGTATATCTGTACCGTGTGTGAGTGTGTGTGTGTGTGTGTGTGTGTGTGTGTGTGTGTGTGTGTGTGTGTGTTGGGATTTATTTCTTCTGTGGGTTCCGATAGATGGAATGCAGGGCTGAACATTTAATCTCCATGTTGCTTGTCTCTGTTCTCACCCCAGCATTGGTTGCAGTCTTACACAGCACCCCCAGCACATTGGAAGTGACATGACACACGTACCCATAGAGCCTCAACTTGCATAGGATCTGTGTAGGTGTTGGGTGCTGGGTGCTGAGCTAGGGGATAAGTTATTTCCCGGGTAATGGGCCTGTTGGAAGCCAGGCATAGTGGTGCACACCTGTAGTCTCATCATTCAAGACGCTGAGGCTGGAGGATGGCAAGTATGAGGTTAGCCTGGACTATGTAGCAAGACCTTGCCTGAAACAAGCATTCACAAACATCCTGGTCCCTTTGGGAGACACTTCAGTAAGTTGGAGAAATTTATTTCTGCATTTATATGGAAGAAAAATGAAAGGCAAGGCTGTGCACTTCTGAAGGAAGCGCTAAGTTCCAGGCAAAGGAGTCTTTCTCTCTCTCTCTCTGTCTCTGTCTCTCTCTGTCTCTGTCTCTCTCTCTCTGTCTGTCTGTCTGTCTCTCTCTCTCTCTCTCTCTCTGTCTCTCTCTCTCTCTCTCTCTCTCTCACACACACACACACACACACACACGAAGAAGAAAAAGAAAGAAATGCTATTGCAAGTACATGTAGCTTTATTTCAGGGACACAAATGAGGACCCATTCTGCTCACCTCCTAGTGAATGTGCCAAATATACTAATTTTTATTGTTTAAAAATGTAAACTACTTTTTGTTTCAGAAAATGTAAGTGAAATTCCAATTTTCACTTGATTGCTTATTTAAAAATATAAATGAATTCAAGAGTGAAAATGTCTATCTCTGGTCATCTCTCCTAGTCTAGGGGAATACTTTTCATTGCTATTTTGTTTTCTGTTTTAAGTCAATGTCTTGCTTTGTAGCTCAGGCTGCTCCAGGCTAGCCTCCAACTCCCTCTCAGCAATTATCCTGCCCCAGTCTCTTGAGAGCCAGGATGGCCTCCAGCTCTTTTCACTGCTTTCTTTTTTTTTAATTTAATTTTAAATAGCTTGTTTTACATGTCAATCCCAGTTCCCTCTCCCTCCCCTCCTCCCACACCCCCCCACCGTCCCCCCCCCAGCCTCCCACCCTATTGTCATTTCCTTCCACATAGGGGATATCTAGAGTCTGTCATTTCACTCAGGGTAGGGTCCAGGTACTCCCCTAAGAGTCCAGGCTGAGAGAGCATCACTCTTTTTGTTACGGACATATGATGTCTGTTTGTATTCCAGGGATAAACACTGATCTACTGCTCAGGGCCCCATAGGTTGCCCAGGCCTCCTCACTGACTCTCACATTTGGGGGCTCTGGATCAGTCCTATGCTGGCCTCCCAGCTGTCGGTCTGGGGTCCAAGAGCTCTCCCCTGTTCAGATCAGCTGTCTCTGCTGGTTTTGCCAGCCCATTCTTTGCCAATTTGCTCATCGCTCCCTCTCTCTCTGCCACTGGGTTCCATGGTTCATTTCAGTGTTTAACTGTGGGTGTTTGCCTCTGCTTCCATCAGTTACTGGATGAAGGCTCCAGGATGGTTATAGACATCAAGTAAATTATCAGGAATGGGCATTCGAGGTGGCCTCTCCACTATTGCTTAGCTTGCAAATTGGTGTCATCCATTTAGATCACTAGAGGTCACACTGGTGCCTGATCTGTCTTCTAAACTATGATTCCCTCTTCCCCCTATTCTACCCCCCACTCAACCTTCCTGTTCCCCTATGACCTACTCTGTCTTCCTCTTCTCCCCCTCTCTTCTTCCCAGCTCCCACTCCCCCACCCCTCACTGTATTCCCCATCTGTTCAGAGGATCTTGCCTCATTCCTCTTCTCTTGGGTAGCACACATATCTCTTAGGTTCTTTCCTGTTTTCCAGACTCTCTGTCAGTGGAAGTGCAGACTGGCACTATCCTGATCCATGTCTAAAATCCATACATGAGTGAGTACATACCATGTTTGTCCTTTTGTGACTGGGTTGCCTCATTCAGGATGGTTTCTTCCAGTGCTATCCATTTACCTGCTGATTTCAAGATTCCATTGTTTTTTTTTTTCTGCTAATACTCCATTGTCTTTTCACTGCTTTCTAATGTGTTCCTAGACAAGCTTCTCATGAAAGAGAGGCAAGAGTGAGGTATAAGGGAAAAAAGATTTACCATGAACTTTGTGGCTGACCCTTCAGTTGCTAATTTTGGTAGTGGTTACAAGTTATCATGACAGCCAATCAAGGTGTGATTTGGTTGTCAGTGTTCTCATAGCCTGGTCTCTGTTTTTGTTTTATCACAAAGGAAACTTTGAATTCATGTTAGATTTTCTGTCTTTGAGCTCTTGACTTGCTGTTTGAAGGAGGTGTTGACTTTGCCCACCCTTGCTATGGATTCAAATGCCTTAAAGCTAATTGCTTATAGCATTCGAAACCATTTCTCCAAGATGAAATTTTTCTTCTTACTCTTCTTATTCTTTTTTTAAAGGGTAGAAATGTGTTTAATATAACATAACGTGCCATAATGATATGTGTCACTTGTTTTATTGATTGTAGTCAGTAATACAAAAATGTGTGTCCTTTCTGAATTGTTATGTATAAACATGTAACGGTTTCTTCCACTGATACATGACTAGTTTTATTTGTCTGTTTTGGGGGGATTTTTTTGCCTAATTTTGGTTTTTGAGACACAGTATCATATAGACCAGGATGTCCTGAACTCTCTAGATAGCTGAAGCTGGCCTTGAACTTCCGATCCTGATTGTTTGGTTGGTTGTTTTTTTAGTAAAAGTTTAAAAGCTGGTTACCAAGTTCATAATAAGTGAGCATAATAAAAAAGCTGTGGAATTAGGAATAATGCTGGGACTGGGAAGAGGGAGATGGCCCAGTGAGTAAGATCAAGTACCCTGCAAGCCTGAGGACCTGGGCTCAAATCCACAGGACCCAATCAAAAACCCTGGCGTGCATATTTGTTTCTGTGGCCTCAGTATATGGAGCAATAAGAACAAACAGATCCCAAGAGTTCACTGCAGGCCACCTAGCTTAGACAAGACAGCCAGCACTAAGTTCAAGAAGAGACCCTGCCTCAAGGCAATAAAGAAGAGAATAAAACAGGAAAACACTTTTTTAATGCTTTATTAATCTTTGTGGCTTTCATATCATGAATCTCGATTCCACTCATCTCTTCATCTCCTCACTTCTACTCTCTGTCCTTTCAACCTTCCCCCCAAAACAAAATTTAAAAATCAAGCAAACAAAACAAAACAAACCATATAAGAAAAGTCTAAGATGGACACTGTAGTATGGCCCAGTGAGTCACACAGTATACCCTTTAGTCCACTTATATTTACTTGTGATCATTGCGATGAGTCATTGGTCTGGTTCCAGGCCTCTGAAACTTTTTTGTTGTTGTTGTTTTGTTTTGTATTTCTTCAAGACAGGGTTTCTCTATATTGCTTTGGAGGTTGCCCTGGAACTCACTCTGTAGACCAGGCTGGCCTCGAGCTCACAGAGATCTGCCTACTTCTACCTCCCGAGTGCTGGGATTCAATGCCTGTTGCCTCTGACACTCTTAAGTCATGTTCTGGTACACATACCCACACACACAACACACATATGAGCAATGAATGGTGAAGCCCTCCTGGATGTTATATCACAAGGCTTCAAATAATAGGGTAATATTTAATACAGATATGGGCAGAAAAACTGATCACAATGGAATGAGAAGTCTAGAAATAGAACCTAATTGTACATGATGTATTGTGTGGTACAAGAAATGCTGCACTAATCTAAAGGGAAGCCTGGTAACCCCAAAGAAAACAGCAAACTGGATCCACATACCCATCATACAAAATAAATTCCAAATAGTCAAGTGTCTAATTATTAAAATTAAACCATCAAAACATTAGATAAAAACATAGGAAGACCCAGAAATATTAAAAAATCTAGATTACCTAAGAGAATAATAATTTGACTTTGTGTATATTAAAAACATCTATCAGAGGAAACTACAAACAACATGAAAATATAAGAAACAAACTAGGAAAAAATATCCCTAATTTATATCGCAGGTAAAACTATCTCTAATACACGGAGACATCCTCCTCTGTGTCCATAAGAGGGAGATCGAGGTCACCCTAGAAACACACAAAAAGCTAGGGTAGACCAGTCCCAGAGAAGCTAACAGAAGTGGCTACTGAGCATGGGTGAACATACTCAGTATCTGTCGCTGTAAGAGAAGAGCAAATTAATACTACATTGAGGTTCATTGCCACCTACAATTGATAAGCATTTCCACCTGTTGATGAAAATGTCCAGTAATGCCAGGAAGAGAAGGGATCAGCACAACCAAAATAAAGGCCAATTTGTGTCCATGCAAAATACAGTTACAATTCCAGAGAAGCTAGAACATAATGTCTAAAAGCACCCAGCCATGTTGCTTGGCTGTGCCCTGTGCTAGCTGTGTGACCTTGTGCAGGCTATTAACCCTCTTTGTGGCACAGCTTTCTCGTCCATAAAGGAGATAATAGCAGTATTTTCCTCATAGGGTTGTTAAGAATATCAAATGAGTAGGCTGGTGTACAGAGCAGGCTTAGATTAGAGCCTGATTCACAGTAAGTGCTGCGAATGATTTTTGTAATTAGTATTTTTATTTGGCCCCACATACTCCAGTCCTAGGAATTTGTCCTAGACAGACGTGTGCAGTCTTGAAAAAGCAGCTATACTAGATGATTCATCTCAGCCTTGTTTGTGGTATCCAAAGATCAGAAGCCACCCAAATAGCTGTCA